TTAGGTTTGCACACACCGTTGCCCCATAGTGGAGCGATTTGTATGCGGTGTGGGGGTGTGCATTTGTGTATGGTTAGACACTGTATTCCTATAATTTGAAGTTGTGTAGCGCAAGTAACCTTACCGTCGGTACTAAATTAGGGACGATAGGCTATTGTAGATCATGCTCCCACCATATGTATGTACCTACCTTTTAAGCTTAGGTACCTACTATAAATCGGTAACCGACATCTATCTTGCGTATCGAGATAGTTTTCTTCTTTATTGGTAACTACCTAATTTATAAAGAGCTGTCTTTGTTACTTCTTTATATTATATCAAGCCACAAGTCGGCATTTCCATATACAATGGGGCGTCTATAAATAGATCGGATCTAGATCTCATTCAAGAATTCTCTGGTCTGGTAGTCTGGCCACGATGAAATGTCTTTCAATGTCTTTTAATTCGTAAGGCCCGACATGCTTCGTACAGTATCCACATGCGCATTGTGTCACTACCTTAAGTAACACCACCTAATATTACGTACCTATACCTACCTATGTTTTAGGTACATATAAACAAATACAGAAGTAACGACTAGACAAGTAGTAACTACCGACTCCTTTATTTTTTGAGCATTCACAGTGCTTAACCCCCCACTCAATTTAGTGATGGTTGGCCACTAGCGTAGCACGTTTAGCAAGTTTTAGCGTAGCAACTTGCCGTCTCCCTTGAAGCCAAGCAGTCCCAAGGCAGGTCCAGGATCCCCTATCAAAATTTGAACAAAGCTGAGTTGGAGCATGTGGGTCAAGGTTTCGCGTCATCTTTAAATCTTGAATATATCGATGATCTTCTCCTGAAAAAAAAAAATCTCCATCTCGGTCCAATCCACTCTCTGAAGTCCCGAAGGCATAGCGCTATATACATTCGTTTCCCGATCCAATTTCCATTCTTTTTACCTACTTACTCAGCTACATAACGTTTCATTAACTGCTCTTCTCCAGACATCCCCGACTTCTACCCATTTAATAGGGAATCAGGGATCGCCCCAGGAACATTCAGATCTAGACCACTTCGTTGTGTGTTCCAATCTGTTATAGCAGCCCTATTCAATAGCTTCATCATTCGTTATTCATCTCTTCGTCCTTCGACATCTGATCTGTAACAATAGCCTTTAACGGCGTATTTATTGTTATATCTCTTCTCTATCTTTCAGACTGATTTAGGGGCTTGGGTATTTTAATGTTTGCTAGTCATCTTACCCATAACTGGTAATAGCTCTCGGTTGATAAGAATTTCAACACCGCTTCCGAATCCCCGTTTGATAGGATACTTCCGGATTATATTCATTTCAATATGCCTTATACAAACAATAATAACGAATTCGACGAGAAGGGTTCTCCCACTCTAACTCACGCGCCAACTGTCTCAGACACGGCCGGCGAACCAGACAAGTATACTGAGAAATATCCCCCGGAGAGATCACAACACCTACAGGTTCCTGCTGAATCAGGGAGGATGTCAGTGGATCATGCGCACCTCTCAGATACTGAATCTAGAGACCAAGCTACTCGACTAGTTGACGATCTCACGCTACTTCAGGCAGAACAGGCAGTTAGCCATCGGGAATCGAACGACCTTCGCCGTGCTTACTCCAAATCTCGCAGTCATGAGCCCGAGGGGGAGGATGTGTTCAACCAACCCGCCCAAAGTTCTACTATACCGCTGGAGAATCCTAACCAACTAAATAAGGTCTTCAAGGAAATCAAGGGTTTACCTCGCATACTTCGATATTTCTTGTACAGCTTACCCAATGCAATTATTTTGCTAATCCCTGTCTTACTTGGGAGGTTTATACCAAAAGACCAACAGACTGTCATTGGAGGGCCGGGGGGTGAGGACCTAATGTGGTTTGGCATCTGGCTTGAGGTTGTTTGGCTCTCCCTGTGGGCGGCGAGAATAGCTACTTGTATTCTACCGGTTATCGTGGGCATCGTTGCCAAGGTGTTGGGCTCTGGTAATTCTAAGAAATGGAGGGAGATAGCCCGTCAGCTTGAGTTGCATACTGCGCTGTTCCTTTGGATGCTTGCCGTGCTGATCTCGCATTACCCGATCCTCAACAACCACAAGGTCAAGGCCAAGGTACCCGAAGAGGCCGATACAGAATATCCATTTATAAACTGGATTGATGTTGTCTACAAGGTTATCGTGGCATTTTTTGTTTTGGCTATCTTGAACTGGGTTGAGAAGATTTTGATCCAGTGGATTGCGGAATCTTTCCATTTGCGAACATATTCGTCACGTATTGAGACGAATAAGCAATGTGTTGCGTAAGTTACATTCTCTTCACTGCTCAAATTATTAGTAGATATCACTAACTGCTTAATAGATACTTAGTTCATCTCTACGAGCATTCTAAGGATAAGTTGGTCCCGGAGTCATCAGTTATGGATAATCAAGGACCGGGCTCTGGCGCAAGGACTCCCATGGCGATGTTTTCAGACAATGCTCGAGATACTATGGCAAAGGTTGGCGACATTGCCAATCGTGTGGCGGGTGATTTCACTGGACGTGAAGTTAAGCTCAGAAACCACCCGCGGAAAGTCGTGTCCGAACTGCTCCGTAATAGCAATTCCGCCCAAGTCCTCGCCAGACGTCTTTTCCGTACGTTCGCTAAGCCTGGCGCCGATGTATTAACACCGCATGACTTAAATCCGGCTTTTCCCTCTATTGACGACGCAGAGGCTGCCTTCAGTGTGTTTGATCGCGATTTGAATGGGGATGTCTCAATGGATGAGCTTGAAGCGTTCTGCGATGAGGTTCATCGGGAGAAGAAAGCTATTGCAGCTTCGCTCAAGGATTTGGATTCTGTCATCACAAAACTGGACAGGGTCTTTTTTATTATTATCTTCATCATTACAGTCATTGTGTTCATCTCCATCATCTCTTCATCTACAGCAGCAGCTCTGGCCTCTGCGGGTACTGCGGTTTTGGGTCTCGCGTGGGTACTTCAAGCTACTGCCCAGGAGTTCCTGCAGTCAATCATTTTCGTTTTCGTCAAGCACCCGTTTGACGTTGGCGACCGAGTCACCATCTACGGCAACACTGGATCCTTAATGAGAGGCGATGACTACTATGTGACTGAAATATCGTTACTCTACACCGAATTCAAGAAAATGCAAGGTCATATCGTCCAGGCGCCCAATTCCCTTCTTAACACAATATTTATTCTTAACCACCGACGCAGTGGTACTTTAGCCGATGTGTTCGAACTTCGAATGAGATATGGTACCCCGTCTAGCGTCATAAAAGAGCTCGAGTCTCGAATGACGGAGTACGTAATGGACAACAAACGCGATTTCACTAGCAAGATCCTTACGGAGCTTGTTAGCTTCGAAGATGCGTACTGCATGACGGTCAACTTTATTTGCTTCCATAAGACGAGCTTCCAAAACGAACTGACTCGTCTCACCCGTCACAATAAGTTTGCTATCGAGCTGATGAACCAGATGGTGGCGCTCGGTATCGAACAGCCTCGTCGGCAGTTCCAAATTTCTGGACAAGACTGGCCCGTCTTCCAATCGAACATTCAACCCCCGTCATATGAAGACCGTGCGCCTACGGTAAATCCTGCAATCTTGACTGCTACCCGTCGGCGTGCCAACTCACATACCCAGGATACTACAGGTGACATCTTCCAGGATGTCTTCGTGGCCCGTAGGCCAAGTAACTCGGGTATCAACCATCCTCCGCGCATCAACGAGGAACTTGCCGAATCCAGTGGCTCCATGAGCGGCAGCAGAGAGCAGCTAGAAAGGTTGCCTTCTAACGGAACCGGCACCGGTCGTAGTAGCCATCGGAATATGTTCGGGCGGTCGATGACTATGAGGCGGAGTGTCGACCACTCCGAACGAGATAGGGAAATGGTGTAAGGAAGAAGTGGGTGACTCAATTAGTGGCACTTTTCTTCTTAATTAATGATTTATGGAAAACAACATTTTTCTTCTAAGCAATACATAGACTGGAGCGAGACAAGGTATAGACTGGTTGTATACCCATTAGGAAAGCGGTCCTACTTAGTTAGATGGCGTACATAATTGGTTAATCCGAACTATGATTCTTTTTTAACAGATCTTTTAGATATTTAAGGCGTGTTGCCAATCTACTTGTATTGTCATATATATAGTGGTGCAAGGGGTTATGATTAAGTATCTATCGATCGGTATATTATGAGCCTTAGGTACCTACTGACATATTTTAGACATTCATTGTCCTAGTTAGCATGCTGTTATGAACACTCATAGACCTAAGCGCCCTTGTACGAACCTCTTCACGTAGATAGACAAATATATAAAATATATGAAGCGTCAAGATTATAACATAGCGTTTATCAAGAATTGACTAGATTCAAGAAGATATATCCCATTGCCATACCGTGTATTCTGCCTGTACCTGTGCTTGTGCCTGTGCTGTACATGTATGTATTCTTTAAATTCCCAATCGCCAACCTAGCCCAACCCCTTTTCTATGCAATGTTGGGCACCTAACCTACTACGCCTACGGGTATCTCAAGTATACGATTGATGAAAAAAAAGGGAGGGCCTAAATTTGTCGGCCGGAAAAGTTTACCCTGGTGTGAAAGAAGCCGTTGTAGTAGTAATAATAAGAAATCATGGTCTCGTGTCGATTTATTTTTCTTTTCTTTCGCATGACGCCTCTGGTAACGCCAATCCATGAATGGTGTGATAATGATGATAATGATAACGATAACGACGGTGACAACAATCCCATATGGCTGTCCAAATCCGTTAATTCGATTAGACAATTATTTCTTTTTCAATTATCGTGTCTCTTTCTGCTTCTTGGATACCCTGTTGCCAATCACGTTCACCAAGGATATATCCTGTGCCATTGCCATTTCCAAAAATAGTACCGAGTGATTATGACCCCTTATGCCATTGACTATATCCATTTGCTTGACTTATTATTATGACGCCTCTAATACCCTTCTGCAGACTTCATCAAGAATCTCCAAGTCCCGAGGCCCTCCCTTCAACCATTGCTAAGAAATTCGCGATATCGGCCAGATGCTCATCGGCGTCCGTAAGCGAGCTGGTTTTTGCATCTCCACTCTTGGCTCGCTTCGTATTGGCAGGTGACTCATTTCCATTTATAGGCGAGCTTTCCTTTGCGCGGCGTTTTCGCTTCTGGCTCCGGGTCTCTGAGGGTGAACTGCTGATTTGGCTTACTCCTAGCTCATCAGCTCGTATGAATGGCGAAGATGGACTGCTCATTACCGGTGGCGGCGACTGGCTAGGAGGTGCTTCTTCGGCAGCCGGTAATCCATAATCTCCAAAGCCAGGGATTCGCTTCCCTTCTCGCAACATAGGCAATGCTATTGACTCGTGCAGGAATTCGCCGTTCGGCATTCGGACAAGCCCTCTGGCTTTCAAAGCCCAATATGGATCTGCAACTCTCGATCGGGATTTTGATACCCGACTGTTATTGTAGCCGACACTTGAGCGATAGCTCGAGCTAAAAGTTGAGTTACGAAGGCTCCCGGTTGATGTGGACAAGGCATCTCCACTAGTACCGCGACAGCGAGCCCTGAGCATTGCTGTCTTTGACCCTTCTTTATAGAGCTTCGGCTCTGGTAGCTCTTTGAGTCGGTGGACTCCGCGTTCAATTCGGCTCCTATTTTCCGCCCTTAATCGCATCTTTTTCTCCTGGACTAGATTCGCCTGAGTTTCGGGGTCATAATCCCTGGCTGCGTATCGAGCTGCGGCTCTTTCATCCGTCACCCCATTGAAAACACCAGTAGCAAGCAGCGCTTCTTCGATGCTCCGTGACTGCGATACCGGACTTGATGATTGAGTGTATAGTTGTGTTGGAGTATCTGCCCTTTCCCGTCCTCTCCACTCGAGACTTAGCCTAGTTGATGCCCTTAGTTGGGCCGTTTCGTCAACTCTGTGCTGGCTCCTCCTTAGCATCGAATCCGTCGTTTGCTGAACGACTTTTTCCTGCTTCTCCCTAGCAGCGCGCTCACGTTTTGCTACATTTTCAGGTAATCTCCATTGCCTCGCTTTCTCCTTTTCTTGATTCATACGTCTGATACGTTGGCGTTTACGAAAGCCATCGTGCCAACGCCAAAAGTATTTCAGTTTGAGAGTGTTCTCTCTGAAATTCCGTATTTCAGTATTGACCTTTTCTTCTTCTTCCCTTTGCATGCGCTCAACTTCCCCAGTATGAAACTCATCCCAAATGCTTTTCAAGATGTGAGTAACTGCAAATTCTTGAAGATGTGATTCCATTAGCCCTTTGTCCGCACAAACGAACCAATGAGCGAAATCACTCATCAAATCCTTCCGGGCCGTAGTTTGAGGGGCAGAAAAGCTTGTAGGAAGGGGATGTTGTGATGTAGAAGTAGGGTTCAAGGCTGGCTGTGGAAATATTGATGGTTGACTTGAAAGGGAAGTTTGTTTACGAGTCTCAGTGTTATCTAAGGGTGTGCTATTCGTGAGTGGCGGTAATGGAGAAAAAAGGTTGGCCGTTGTAGGCTGAACTGTACTACTGATAGATTTCGATGAGATAGAGGGTTTTGATACTGATTCTGAGGTGGCAGATAAACTAGAGGGTGCAGGGGGTTGTGATCCGTCTTTGTTCGACGAGTCGGAAGCTTTTGCTCCAAGATTCGCGAAGAGAGATTTGGTCGGTGGAATCGATAGGTCTTTGTCGCTGTTTAGAAAACTGAAGAAGTTTGGATCTAATACGTTTGTTGCGGGCTGGGCTGCTTGTGCTGATGAAACATTGCTTCCGAATATAACATTAGAATTTGCGGTAGAATTCTTCCCATCCTGACTTGGATTTTTATTAGCACTATCTATGGTGGATTGTAACCGCGGAGTAGATGTTGCAGCAGTATTGTTGTCAGTGTTCGTAGTGCTAGGTGACATGGAGTTGCTTATTTGTGAAAAGAGTGAGCTAGGTCGCTGTCCTGTAAGAGCAGAAAATGCGGTTTCCGTCCTAGAGTCTCCGCTAGTTTGGGCGGAGACCGGAGTAAAAGAAGCCTCTTGAGAAGTAGGTATCGTGTCGGAGGGTGGCGGGGAGGGAGACTGTTTAAAGGGAACGGTAGCCGTCGGCTTGGTAATAGTATGGTTCCCAAAGGTTTGCGGAGGAGTATAGGAGCTTGCCGCGGTTAGGAGGCCGGGAGATGGGGTGGGTTGACTGCCTTCTGCCTGGCGACCATATCCATCAAGATTCTCGTGCCCTTGGCGGTTGCTATCCGCTGGGGGGGCATCTTGGGAATCACTGACAAATAAGCTTTCCTCGGAAGATTCATCTGAGCTAGTTATTGCTATGACATTCTCTTCGAAGACAGTTGTACGAATGACATCTGGAAGAGATCGCCTAGAACGTTTATGCTCTACTATGTCCCCTGAGAAGGAATGCCGTACTCGAGCATCGATATACTCGGTACTTTGGGAGAGAATAGCATACCCATCGTCGTGAAACTGAAAACCATGCTTTTTGAAAAACTCAACTGCCTCTTCTTCCGTATCAGTGTGTAGGTATTGCTTTAAGACGGACGGAGTTAGGTCTTTGGGGCCGAACCGAGGCCTCGAGAACGATTTCCTAATAACTTTTAATATCCCCTTTCGCACATTGTTGAAATGTATCTCGGCAAAGCAGGCCATGGTATATGAAACTGACGGATGGGCGATGAGCTTGAAGAATATCGAGATCGCATCAATAGCTAATTGGCTGTATGTTTCCGGATGCAGAGGGCCCTGCATTTTACGAATATTGTCGATGCATTGGACGATAGCTATTGCGGATTTGATTCCTTCGGCGTTTCCAAACCGAACATCCCAACCTTCTATTCTTTCCATGAGCGCGGGATTGTAGGCATTGAATACTATAAAATACCCCCGGAACTCGGGCTCGTTTTTACACTCAATCCCCTGATGTGCACAATCGTCATACACTTCCATTAGGGAGATTAAAGTCTTGCTTAGTTGCTCGACTTCTTGTTGCTCCGAAAAATCCGTGGGAGCGAAGCCATCTTGAGAGAGGAGATGAAGCGACGTAACGTGAAAACGAGTGATGGTCTCGAGGCAATAAATTTGATCCAGTATCTCATCAGGCGTCATAGCGTACTTTTGGAATGAGAAGTCTATTCGAATGGCTCGAGTTCTGTCCCAAAGGAAACTATGCCGTTGCGGTAATAGGTCATCAGACGAAATAAGATCGATCAAGTAATCTAAAGTGCGGCAGAGGGTCCGAACGGATCGCACGTCCATGGGGAGGGGTGCATCTTGCCCTGCAGCTGAACGAGCAAGTCGTTTGACCATAAGCGAGGGTATTGCGACAAGATCACCATTCTCATCTCTACTTTTCTCCGGTCCTCTGATGTCGTGCTCAACAATACGAGTCACTTGCTCCCACTCAGGACACATATCCTCACAGATTCCCTTGAACACAAGTGCCTCGTCGAGCCTTCGCCTTTTGTCTGGATCGTCGATTAGGCCAGCTCGCGTGAGAGACTTCCGTGCCTTTTCCCGGTACGCCTTATAAGTCTCACGAAAACGCTCTATTGCCTGGCGTTGTGCAAAGCTCCCTGGGTTCTCAGGCCATTGCGGTGGTCTGATTTTATCCTTGGCTAACTGGTCTCGAATCTTCTTAGCAAACTCATCCCGATCTTGATTAAATTTCGGGTTTCCCGGTACGTCTTTTTCGGTCGAGGTGTTCTGCTTATTACCCTGGGTAGGGGGCTGGGATCGACTATGAGCATTCTCTAGGCCTAGTGACGTCCGTGATAATTTATTCCTCCGCTCGATATCATCACCACTCTTTCGTTTCCCATTGGCTTGATTTGTCAGTGTTGTGGTATTAGCTGGTGTAGAGTTAGTAGTCTGTGCCTGCTTTGGCCACGCTGGTTGCACATATTCGGAAGCTTTTTTTAGGCCATTGACGCCGGTCTTAGTTGAAGCCTGAATTTTGCCGCTGGGTACTGGCGTTGGCTTCAAGAAGGGGTTTGGTTTCGAGGAACTGTCTTCGGAAGCAGCTGTCGGGTTGGAGGTCTGCGTAAAGCTAGGTCGGCCGAATGATTCAAGCTTAGGAGTTGAATCTTGCTGACTAAAAGGTGAAGGCCGTACTTCAGCACTATTAGTTGTCGGCGTCGAAAATGGGTTCTGCGTGTTGGAAGATTGCCCATTACTAGTGCCACTAAACGGGTTTGGCTTCAAGTTAAAAGGAGAAGCGGTAGATTGGCCGTTCGTGTTTATAGCAGAGCCCATGTTTTTCTTCTCAAAGGGATTCTTCATATTACTTGGCATCCGGAAGTCATCATGCCGCCCGTTTGCCATTTGAGTCAGGCTCTGCAGTATTGAAGAATTCGATGAGGGTGGTTGAGTAGAATTTGCTAGGAAAGGATTTGGCGTAGGTGTTGCGCTGCTGGGCTGTCCTTGCAAAAATGGGTTAACCTTGGGCGGAGCGAACGGGTTGGCCGGTTGGGTAGACGCCGGGTTGCTGAATGCTATAATTCGAGAAATAGAGTCAGTGGTCTTTAAACATCCTCACATCCTCATTTTTTTTCTTGCTTGCTTTTATATCAATATCGTATTCCGGCTTCACCTTTGTTTCTCGTTTGATCCAGCCGCTTTGTCGATTCCAGTGCCAATATATACTCCAAGATATCGAGGGTTGTTGGATTCACTCGTAGCAAATATAGCTTTTATCGTCGGGGAAGGAAAGCCATTCAACTTACGGTTGCTAGGCGGGTTCGGCACCTGGCCGACTCCCCAGCCACCCTGCATCTGGGGATTAAGCATTGCGCTTTACCGCCGGGTATGTTATATCATTTGTCATGGGTCGTGAAAAGTGATCGAGGTTGGCCAAGAGGGAAAGGTGCAAACTGGAGCGGACGGGGACCGAAGAAGTTGTGCACGGAAAGGCACAAAGAACCGTCGTCCTCGCGCGCAAAACGCTGTTCAAATGGGAAGCGCGAACAAAGAGTATGTACAGATTGAAAAGGACATTAATGAAAATATATGCTAGAGAGGTGCGATGTGGCCAGTAATACGGAGTTAAGTAATGTAGGTGTTTGGTTGTATTTTTGAAGTGAGAAGTGTTGAATTTTGCTTGCTAAACGATTGACGATGTTGCGATCGTCAACGCGGCGCGGCATTGGAGTCTGCAAGCGGAAGCTGGATTCCTGCCTGACTTGACCGCTCTAGGCTTATCCGTAAGTGACTTAGCCTGTTAGGTTAGGTACACAGTACCTTGTACAACACAACACAATCAGTAAATCGACCACTTGTGACTTTAGATTTTAGATTACGGCTCAGCTATGTAAGAAAGAAGGCTAAGAAAAACATTCCTCTCCCCGCAGTATTTCTCGGTGGCTTAATTGCTTATTAGGCGCCGCCTAGATTTTAAGGTAGACTTGGGAATGAGGTCATTGCAACTTATTAGTTATAACTTGTACTTTTACCGTAACTGATCCCTTCGCGGCTGTATTTTTAGTTGCCTTGCCGACATTATATTTGCGCGCAACTTTATCTTCCTCTTTCCCTTTTTTCCTCTCCCCTTACTACATAATTATTACCTATGAGCATTATTACTAAACTTTGGGGCCAACGCAACTTTGTTAATGCTCAAACGCTCAAATGCTTGAGTCCCCAATTCTTAATTCCCACCTATCCCCTATAAACATCACTCCGACTCCGCGCAACATCTTATTCCAAGGGTCCACGTAGTATGGAAACTTCGATCTCACCTGCATCAACCTCAACTGTATCACGATCACTCGTACAATATACACATTATAGGCGACTACCCCTTAGTCTCTCTTTACCATTACCAAATGGGTAATAATTCCTTCAGGATCACATCCCGCATGATTACTGGCAATTGAGCTACGACGAAACGAACGAAGTCAGACCGGAGGTCCGACGCGCGAGCATCTTCATTTATCTGATTAGCTGACTCGTCTTCCTCGCTATTCCCCTAGGAGATAGCCGTCCGGAGAAAAACAGCATCTCCATCGAGTGTCCGTAACGCGAATCTTGGCACTCACCTGTATACAAAACCCTCTTAGCACCCGCTGCTACGGAACAATGGCGTTTCTCGAAGATCCTCGTCTTCGGCAGCGATGGAACCAGATCTCTCATACAACCGAAACAGTCACCGAGAACGCAGCCGCTGGGATATGGAGTTTTGGTCACACATACATCACACCATGTTTCTCCTCCATCTTCTCGGCCCTGGAGAGCTGCTCGACCGTCTGCCTCGGCGATCGCGAAGAACGAGCACGACGAGCAAGGGAACGCCAGCGGGCACGAGGAAGGGCCGAATATAGCTTTGACTTCTACGATGATTGGGACGAGGAGCTGGGGGGCGGTGACGATGCAGGAGGACTTCTCGGCAGCTGGCGAGGTGAAGATTGGGATCAATTACTGGCGGGCACCGGGAAAAAGCGTAGCGGAGGTGATGTTCAAGAACAGCCGAAGAGGAAGCGCGGAATGAGCTACGGCACAAAGGGACCACGGAGGAGGTCCAGTATTCAAGAAGATCCAACAATCATTCCAAGCACTGCACCCCTAGGGTTTTTGGGCCGTCTACCGTTCAAGATAGGAGGCCCTTTGAGGTATAAACCTAGTGCAGCAAATCTACAAGAGCATCCCGGAGCATCAAGATCAGGATTAGACACAGAACGCGTGCCGCTATTGGACGAAAACGACGATGGGGCACACACTAACGAATCACAATCGCATAGTAGGAAGCGAAGTGGAACGGTAGGCAGTGGAGATACTAGCGATTCGTACAGGTCGAGAGGTGATCTTTTCCCAAGCGACGAAGAAGGGGAAGAAGATGCAATACCACTAGACGACGAATTCACCATTGCGCTAGATCACGTAGATGATCGCGAAAGTAATAAGACGAAGAGCAGCAAGGGGAAACGGATTGCAGACCGCAGGATACCAAGAAGTGTTTCAAGGACGACGATGAACTCGACAAGGCCATCATTGCATCCCAGCTTTGGCTCAGGGTCGGTTCCAGAGAGCCCAGCGCTGCTTTCAATGGCATCACTAGAAGACTTACGACTAGAAGAAGAACGGTTGGAACGGGAGGAAGATGAAGTGGTGGAGAAAAAGAGACAGGTTGCTGCGAATTTGGCTCTTAGGAGAGGGCTAAGCCGAGATAATCTTCAAATTGAATCCGTCCAGGAAGTAAAATCCGAAATAATCAGGGTAGAAAGAGTAGTAGTTCCGCAAGAAGCTATATTTGATAAGGGATCAGACTACGGACAAGACGAGGCCGGGTCTGGGTCTGCGGAAGAAGAGGCTCACCAGCCAAAATCGCCAGCACCGAAAGATTCGCCACAGGAAGGCTTTGTCCCTGCACGACTACCATATTTCCGATGAAAAATATCACCATATATCACCAACCTGTAACTCCGATCGAACTAACACTCTTCACGGCCCATATGCAATACGCTGGGGGATTCCATCCCAGGACTTTAAATTATGCCTAAGACGAACCAAAGCTCAAACCAGATGAGGTTTGATAATGTCCATATGAGCCATGACACTATACTTGATGATAAGGATTCAGCGTCATGTCGGAAACGTGTAATTGGCTACAGGCGACCAAGCCATCTCACTACCTGTAAATCAATGTCTATACGTGTAAATATAGAATTATGAAAGTTATAGGTTTGGCAGAACGAGAAGCGGCCTAAGCCTTATAGAGCGTATAGAGCGTATAGAGCGTATAGAGCGTATAGAGCGTATAGAGCGTATAGAGCGTATAGAGCGTATAGAGCGTATAAAGCGCCATGATCACGCTATAGCGAACGCCTTGATGTTATTATTATTGCCAGGAATAGGGATTTGGAGATTAATTCTAAACAAGATACCAAGTTTGAATATACTTATCTAAGACATGATATTGCTATCTAGAAATCTACTTGTATAACAAAGCTTGTCAAATGTCATATCTTAATGTAAATGATAGGTGAAAAATCGCCAAGTCGAAGGTCGGCCCCAACTTAACACTTCAGGTAAGACAAGTTACCTCATACCTAGGCCCATTATTCAGACCATTTACCGAAAATAGATATATGCCTCGGCATCTTTTTAGTTTACCCCAGATCTCCGCTTGACACCGTTGAGATTAGCTCCCGAGGACCATCGAGCTTTATCATACGGCCCCGTATAAGTTCAACAACTTCATTTATCTACCTTAGGTAGTCTTATACTCTTTACAACGTTTTATTTCTTACATTCCATTCACTAGTCTTACATATAATTGGAAGACACGTAACATACACGGAGTTTCGCATTCTCAGTAAAAACAAAAAGTTTGTCTCGTACGACGTCCGCAAGCCGCCCGCAGTGCTTCCTAAACCACGGATCGTTAGTAGTACCCTTGGTCCGAGGTGGCCGAATTCGGGTTACTCAATAAAACTGCTAAAATTCAGCTCTCGAGCTAAGCAACTTCTTAACTCTCTCGAATACAATCATACTTCACCAGCCTGCATCAAAGCGGCACAGTTCCCATCCGCGATTGTAGACTCAAAACACGTAAAAACGTAAATTAGAAATTCCAACCACCACAATGGCGCCGCAACCCCAAGGCCCCATCACAACCCCCCTCACCACCCTCCTCGGGATCCAACACCCCATCATCCTCGCAGGCATGGCCCGCGTCTCGGGAGGCGCTCTCGCCGCCGCCGTCTCCAATGCCGGCGGTCTAGGCGTCATCGGCGGGTTCCAATACACGCCCTCGCAACTCCGCGCCATCGTTGCGGAGCTCAAAGCCGCCCTACGGTCTCCAGACCTGCCGTTCGGCGTAGACTTGGCATTGCCGCAGATCGGCGGGTCCGCACGCAAAACTAACCACGACTACACGGGCGGCAAGCTCGACGAGCTCATCGACATCACGATCGAGAGCGGCGCGCGGCTGTTCGTCAGCGCGGTGGGCGTTCCGCCCAAGTACGTGATTGATAAGTTGCATAATGCGGGCATATTGGTGATGAATATGGTCGGACACCCGAAACACGCGGTTAAGGCCCTAGATCTCGGTGTGGATATGGTGTGTCCGCAGGGTGGCGAGGGCGGTGGGCATACGGGTGATATAGCCAGCTCGGTGCTCATCCCGGCTGTCGCCGACGTCGCATCACGCTACCACCCGCCGATGTTAAAAGGCAGCCCCGCGCTCGTCGTAGCCGCGGGCGGTATCAACGACGGGCGATCTCTAGCCGCAAGTCTGATGCAAGGCGCAGCGGGAGTCTGGGTGGGAACACGCTTCGTAGCCAGCGTCGAAGCAGCTAGCAGCGAGGAACACAAGGTGAGCGTAGTAACGTGCGGCTTTGAAGATACGCAGCGCACGCTGGTGCTCACGGGGCGGCCGCTGCGCATGCGCACCAACGCATATATCGCGCGGTGGCACGCGCAGCCGCAGAAGATACACGAGCTCTGCGATAAGGGCGTCGTGCCCATCGAGCACGACCTCGAAAACGACGTCGACGATATTGATCCCCCGCACCTGATGGGCCAGGTCGCAGGCGCCGTTACTAAGGTCCAGCCTGCCGCCGAGATCGTCCGCGAGATGGTGGATGGTGCGGTGCAGATGCTGAGGCTAGGGAACTCGTATATCAATGCGAGCGCGAAGAGTAAGCTATGAGGCTTGGACCCCGGGTTGGGGGTGGAAGAATGTGTGTAGGCATCAAGACCTGACAGTATCACCTACATACATATCCATAACCTACATATAGTATATAAAGTAGGATGAGAGATATACATGTAAGTAGGCTGACATAGGACCCTAGTAAATGCCGTTACGATCTGCGGCCGGGTCCGCAGCCGGGAGCCGGTACACACCTTACCGGCACCGAGGGAGGAGTTGATGGCCTTACTACGTACATGGCATGGAAGCAGTGTAACCTACCTCTATTTCGCGGGAATAGCTTGCATAAATGCATCCCGCCCTTTTTATTCTCACCGAGGGCAAAATCTTCAAGTCGGTCTCGGGAGGATCGGCCCCAAAGGGAAAAGGGGGCTTGTAAGATTATGAATTTGGGAATTTTGGAATTTAGGATCTGGCCTTGTTTTGGGGGCGGTGTGAACTTTATTGGAATTGATGTAGTATTATTCCCAAGTATGTATGTAATCATACCTAATAGTGAAAATTAAGGCGGTTAGAGAGATCTACCTGCCATTGCCGCCGCCGCCGTCATTTCATTACATAGTATCCCCATCACCGCCTCTTCAATTCAAGGGTGAAGAGAACGGAGATGAAGAAAACAAATCGACCGACCCGAGAACCCCGCAGGGACGCGTGTAAGGTTTGCGCGGAAGAGACATTCATGACTCAAATCGATCTCCCTCTATACACATATACTTAGCCTATCAAATATACCTATGCATGTATAGTACCTATAAACTTAGGGTACCTACGGTAGTCTCGTCTCGTAGGAGGTAACTTGCAGTTGTCCATGTTCAGGCTTTGGGGGAGGCTTGCATGATGCATTACCCATCGGATGGCCATGCATTTTGTCGCTGCGTAACAGGGAAATACAGAAAGAAAAATAATAGGGGCGGGCATTTGCGTCGTCGTCTGTGGCTTGTACCTGTCTCACCCCGTTTCTACCACCACCTCGTTTTGTATCATGTCGATCGATTTACCTAGCATCAGAAAAGCCAATCAGTGGGAATGCGTACGTAAGCATCGTAAATAGATAGGTAGGACAAGACAAGTTTAGCAAAACGAATTAGATTGCGTATGGATGTCTTAGAGGCTTATCGAATTCTAGGGGTTTTTTTTATCATAACACTGTTTGCCATGTATCAGGATGTCAGGGTCTCTGATTCGTCACTACCTACTAACATCATAATGAAGCAATTGATCTTTTTATGTTGAGCACGTTTGAAAGTTAGTCCCTATTCAAGCTAGAGATGAATAATTCTCTCATCTGTTTGGTTCAATTATTCATGGGTGTACAGCACGATGCACGGCGTAAGATGAGAAAAGACAAGACATGTCGCATTTGACGAGTGTCTACACTAAAAAAGGAATAGCGAATCAACAAGCCCATCTATCCCCGCGGCTTTTCCTAAACACTGCCGTCGACAATGCTGGTTCCTTCTCCCATTGCGCTGGTAGTACCATCATTAGCGTATCGATCTCCTCACGGGCTGCCTGCATCCGCTTCTTCATGGGATCCAACGTGCCGTTCTCTTGCGACTCCTGCTGTAACTGTAACTCCTCTAGACGTTGCACCTGTCCCTCAAGTAACTCCGCTTCGATATCTTGTGGTTCGTCTTCTATTAGCTGAGGAAGAGAGCCTAACTCGAGCTTCTCTGTGTCGTGTACAAATATTATTCGTTCTAGTGAATTTAAATCGACTTTCTTCCATCGTAGCACTCGCCATGCGCCCTCGGGAACAACTGCAAGACGTTGTACTTGATCCAATCCTTGCGTAGAGGCCCATAATGATGAGCATTCCGGTTTTAGCTCCGAGTTGCCGAAGAATAAGGTATCCCGGTTGAAATCAACGTAAACTCTCGGTTGTATATTGCCCACGCCAAGCGAAAGCTTGTAATGCTTAAGAGCTTCATATCTGGCCTCGGCGTTGACATGTAAGAGAGCAGGGATCTGTGTTGTTGAATACCATGTTTCCCCCTGGCTATATGAATCTAATATAGCTTCTTCTAACGATCTAGGTGTCTGCTTCTGTCCCGTGTATGGAGACTTAACGACGACCGTCCTAGGATCAGGCATAGCATGCTGCCATATTTTGATCCGTAGTTCTGGAGGGAGCTCATTGAACTTGCTGAATGTGGGACTTTGAAGTTTGTTTGAAACTCGCGATAATGTTCCCTCCATTGTGCTATCGATGAGGTTGAGAAATTGGTAGTATTGGGATTGTTGCCAACGATAAAGCCTTATAAGTAACAATATCGAACTAACAAGGGGTATGATGGCGACGGGCACATCGTAATAAATAGTTGGGGTATGGCTCGTCCTAGCCGGCATGATTGCTTATGTATAGCCCTGTAGGCTTTAGGGGGGTTTTGGAGTAGGATGGGCTACTTGATGCAGTAAGTAATCCAACTACCTCGTGAGGGTGTGTGCGTGATCGATGCGTAATATAGTAATTAATTAGTTGAAACGTCCTTATAGGTACAAATTATAGGTAGTACAAGAGAATCGGTCCCGCAATACGTTTGAGAGGATTCATAGGTACCTAAGGATTTGGGGTCTATAGATAGATAGATAATATCATACACGGGGAACTGCCGCATGCGGTTTGAGAGTTGTCAGGTTTATATGCGAGCAAAGAGGAGGGGGGGTTTCTTATTTCCATTCATTATCCAATGTCATTACTTGTTGACCCACACCTACGTTTGACAGATTAGGGGGATGAACAAGCAACTCGCTCTTAAGGGTCCAGGCTTTCTTTAGAGCGAACGCCGTGGACCGGCGCGAGACTAATACCCTAGGTACAGTTAAGCAGTTAAGGGTACTATCGGGTACTGCAAGTATGTAGTACCTAACCCTTAGCGGTGACTGACAAAAAGTTTCATCAGACAAGGGACTGGAACGTGGTTTGATGAGGCGGCTCAAAGCCACATCAGACTAACGAGTCACTAAACCAACTAAACGACCCGAATAAAAGCGGCCGCGGTCACCGACTCTCCGTGTACTTTTGTACTTTGACTATCAGACCAGACCGCAGGTTAACTACCTTACCACCTAACCACCTAACCACCTACATACATACCTAACTAACTAAAAGGTAATGCAGCTGCGGCTACGCGTAGCCTAACACAACTGTTTATGATGCGGTTAACCAAGGATGACGCTTGACACGTAACATAGTTTATTCCGCACCACGGCGAATCCCTTACGGTAAGCCGGCGTCAGTTTGCCAACAGGTGATCAGATTACTTCTTGGTATCCTGCGGCCTCGGGCGCGGTTAGCCGAACTCGCTTGAGTTCGTACCTTGAGACTCGTCGGTTCCGATGCCGAGATAATTAAAGCAAAGAAAGTGGGCAGCTTGCGACGTCCCGTCTGCAAAGTTATCTTCTTCTGCTTGTCTGCACGTGTAGCAAAAGGCACAAAAGGCAGGTAGAGCAACTTTCCACGGACCATACAAGCCAATAGTCACTCGACCTAGTGTGATCGTAGGAGCCGTAGACATGCGTTCTGCTGTATCCCGTGATGCGATGCTGATTACCGCCAAACTCACCTCATTACCCCAGAAATCTTGTAAAGGATTCGTCTCGAAGTGAGACGTGGCGGCCATTAAGAAACATGATTGGGCAACATAGAAAAGGGGTTGCAGGTTAGCTTAACTTAGCAGTTCTTTTAGCCAACCAGAGAGTAATTTAGAAGTGCTAGGATTCTAGAGCTGGGACCAAAAACGCAGGGTGGATGAGATTCATCGTGGGATATCGTGGAGAAGGGAAGAAGCAGCTGACATGGGGGCTGCAATATGCTAACCACGCCTAGAGAAGTTGGCATTAGAAACTTACCTTTTAGGTACATACTACCTGTGTAAGGTGGCTGCTATACTAATGACCCTAATGACCCTAATGTTCTATAATATTCTTAGTCTACTACGAAGTACATGTATGTATGTAGACTGCATGTAGTCGGCATCGCTATTCGCCTACAACCCGATAGAAACGTAAACAATATTCCAGATGATTGCGTCAAAAATGTGTGATGGAAACAAGAAATGCATCTAAGAAATTGAGTACCAAGAGAAAAAGAATACCTATCAGGGAAAAGAATGACAAAGTCTCGCTAGTCGCGGCTCCTGTCGGTAGTCGGGGGCCTTGGACTCCCGCCATAGTGGGGCTATGTAAAGGGGTGTTGACGCCGCTTACACCAAAGGGTGACGACTAAACCAAACCACCAAATCACAGGATATATTTCTTACCTATTGTAGAGCGATATTTCAGCCCCTTAAAGTCCATTCATCATTATACATATTCTTTAACCAATCACAAGAAGCTTCTACTCTTAGACTGGGGCTCGGTACTTTGAAGCTTGGCTCTTGGCAACTTTGGGAGCTTAACATAGGTACCTAGGTACATGTGTACATGTAGTAACGTACCTAGGTCAGATCCTAAATCGACCACAGCCACTGACGAACTATATGTTCAACTTACATAGAATTGCAATAAATTTCCACTAGATACCAGATCGTTAGTTTGCTACAGTAACGGCAAATTTAAGGATACGATTTAACGCAGCGGGCCTACCGGCATATGAGTTTTTTTTCTCGTGTAGTACGTCATAACACTGTATGAATTGCTGTGATCAAATAAACTTGTCGCCAGAGTCAAAGACCGACCGCCGACCGTCGACCGCTTCTTATTCCCAGTCAAAACAATCACATTTCGCAATCTGCGACTTTATTACTTGATGTCTGTTCCAGGGGCATTACCGGTGTCGTGACATGATGCTTCGTGGCTCAATATTTTGAATCATGAACCTGATCCGAATATGACGCAAGTCAGAGAGGCTTCTATGCTTAGGTAGGCCATTAGGTACCATTTACATACCTAGTACCTCTCATTAATAATTATATGTAAGTGATGACCCAAAGATCGAGGACGCGGGAGATCATCATTGAAAGCTTATTTCATAAGCACATTTCTTTTATGACGAC